ACACACAGCGCCACGCCTTATACTTATCGCCGTATGGGTTCTTCCCTGCCGGCACTGGTTGTATCCGCCGTCCATACGCCACCACAACGCTGCTGAGTTCGCGGAACAGCAAGATACCGCTGGCGGAGCTCTGGTCGAATGTCACACGCTGAGCTTTATTGTATGCCAGCTCCTGCAAGAACTTGAGCAGAGCTGTGGTCACCGCCGGGTGGTCGTACAACTCGTCGGCGGCACGAGCGAATACCGGGAAGTAGGCCGGGTAGAGCAGGTCGAAGATGCAACTGTATGTGCGCCGGTTGTGCGTCTGCTGGATAATACCGCGCAGGTCTCGACACACACCAATTACAGCCTCGCGAACCTCCGGCACACGGTAGTTCGGCGTCTGCAGGAGCTGGTTGAGCACGTTCTCGATGGGCTCCATGAATCGTTCGAACCGCTCTGAAGACTCATCGAACGCTGTCGTGAAAATAAGCCGCGCGATGGTCGAGTGGAACGTCGTTCGGTGTCGTGTATTGGCAGGAACCGCCAGGAAGGGAAACTCCTCTGCTGTGTGATTCCCGATGAGATACTGCACAGTCTCCAGCCCGAGAAGCAGCTTGCCTGACGAGTATCCAGACGCCACCTCAAAGAAAAGCACCAATGTCTTGCTAATAATGACCTCCGTCCCCCCCCAAAATTTGAGATTGTTGCCCACTTTCGTTACCATCATGTTGACCACGACCGTGTGGTCGCCCAGTCCTAGGCGCTCGAACATGCGCAAGTATGCTTTGTGCTTAGAGGACATGGCACTCTCACTAGGGGCCATAATAGGCGAGGAGGCCGACCCGGCCGACGCAGGCTGCATGGACGAGGACGGCGTAGGGGCCGATGGCATGCCATGCTGCTCGCCAATGTAACTCTTGCGGAAGCTGCTAAAGTAGTATAGCAACGATAACTCAAAGTGCACGCTAGGTTTCGTCTGGCCGCCTGACGCGATGATCCGATGCTCAGTCAACTGCATCGCACGGAAAACTCGTTGGGACAGGTCCGCGTCTACTAGCTCGTCGCCCTCCGTCGACGTTGAGGAGTACGTTTGTCCGCCAATAATGGCGCCAATGGCATAGACAAGCCAGGCTGCCTGGTTCTCCATGCTTTGCAGCTGTTGTTGCTGCTGCGGTGGGATCGCTGCCCCTCCGCTCTGGTCCAAGATGCTGCAGGCTTCCGTGTATTGATTCAGAATTGGGTCCAAGACCGATACGATGTACTCTCCCGTCTGGCGGTAGTTGAAGTGGCACAGCGTCGGCAGCTTCTCTAGCTGCTCATACAGACCTCCTTCGTCATCCAGCGGGTTGTCCAGCGTGTCGTCAAGAGCGCATTGCTCAGCTGAATCAAGACGCGACTGCAAATAGGCCTGAATCACCTGAGGAACGCGCGTGTCCAGGAAGTTTA